CTCATTGACCATTTCTCTTTGTCTGAAAATTAAACCTTCAAATAAATTCTTTAAATGAACACTTGAGCCACCTTTTCGTCCCTTCCTTGATCTGTACGATCCGAATAATAAAATAAGCCGGAAACTGAAATGAGCACAGCAGAGCCATTTTCCAGTTGATGTACATCGCAACAACGAAAGAAAATGCTGAATCCAAAAGCGTTAACATATACCACAAGTGGACAAGTGACTGGCGCCTTGCATATGGCTTTATTACTAATGATTCCTCAATGAGATGACAGCCACAACTGCCGGCTTGGAGGCGGTGCGGCCACTTCCGCACCCTTGAGAGTATCTCCATATTTCATAAGGTCGCCCAATTTGAATAAGACCCCTATAATGTTTGGAGATACCCTTAATTATTATAATTATTGTGCAGAGTTCCTTATGCGATGCGCCACATGCGCCATTAGGCGTCGTCCAGTGCTGCCGCAACGCCTACACTTACAGCTGCTATTGCTATTGCAACATCTACACTTATAGCTATTGCTGTTCAACATCTACACTTATAGCTGCTATTACTGTTGCAACGTCTACATTTAGCTGCTATTGCTGTTGCAACGTCTACATTTATAGTTGCTATTGCTGTTCCAACGTCTACAGTTGTAGCTACTATTGCTGTTGCAACGTCTACACTTATAGTTCTGTTGCAACATCTACTTATAGCTGCTACTGCTGTTGCAACGTCTACATTTATAGCTGCTATTGCTGTTGCAACGTCTACATTTATAGTTGCTATTGCTGTTGCAACGTTTACATTTATAGCTGCTGATGCTGTTGCAACGTCTACACTTATAGCTGCTATTGCGTTGCAACGTCTACAGTTGTAGCTGTTATTGCTGCCGCACGCTGCAGCTGAGTGCTGTCAAATTCTAGGAATCAAATGTAGCCACAGCGTACTAACTTGGAACGGTTCTTCATCGGTTACCTGGACAAATGATGGCAGGAATCAAAAGATCAAGTTTGGCCTCCATAATTTTATTTAAACTTGAAGAATCATTTATAATTTTGGTAAGAATACGCCCGGGGCTGTTTCGCTCCTCGTCGAAATAGGCGCAACCATGACGCATTATCTAAACAGATAGCTTTTTGTGTATTGCGGAGACATCATAAGTTAATGAAATGCTGTAAATTACCTTTCTAAACATTGTTAGTCTCATGTAGGAGCAGAATCCATGGCCAAAGAGAGCAATGAATAGTCTCTAGTAAAGCAAATATTCAAGAGCTAGTCTATAGTAATGATCTATAGATTATAAGAAATCCAGGGCTTACTGGTCAACATGGAAAAGAGGGTCACAAATAGTTCTCATCTCTATTCATAGATCAAACAAAAATTATGGATTTCCTTAGTGTTTGGTGAAGTTGCTGATTTTGTCCTATTGGTAAATATGGTAAGACAGCACGATTATTC